TCTTCTTCTTGGGAGATATTGCGCATGCGCGAGCACTGTTTCAGAGGTGCAGTACTGCCTAAATCAAAGTACGTAATATAGCTTGCTGCGGGAGAGAGGGGTGGGAGACCAACGAAAGGTGGCAGTGAAGACAGCCGAGGGGCGGTGGAAGAAGAAGGAGGCTGAGCCTGGGACAAGGGAGACAAGGGGAAGGGCGGGCGGGGATGAAGTAGTAGTTTTGCACCCTACTGGCTATGGCGCTCTCCTAATTATAAACACAGGTCTACTACTAAGAATTTATTACAGAAGCCTATGCTGAGATACCCCCTTACTATATTAAATGCATTTGCAGCACAAAATATAACTCTTCCGGTGATATATTGCGCATGCGCCCAAACAGTAACGTAGCCAGCTTATGTACTGACTGGTATATGCAGCCGAGACCTTACATGCAAGGTCTGCTTCCGATTTCATAAGTGAAGTCTACTGATGGAATATTATCATGGAAATCTATGCTGGGATAACCCCTCTTCATTTTAAATTCATAATTTTAGCAAAATATTCTTCTTCTTAGGAGATATTGCGCATGCGCGAGCACTGTTTCAGAGGTTCAGTAATGCCTAAATCAAAGTACGTAATATAGCTTGCTGCGGGAGAGAGGGGTGGGAGACCAACGAAAGGTGGCACTGAAGACAGCCGAGGGGCGGTGAAAGAAGAAGGAGGCTGAGCCTGGGACAAGGGAGATAAGGGGAAAGGCGGGCGGAAATGAAGTAGTAGTTTTGCACCCTACTGGCTAGGGCGTTCTCCTAATTATAAACACAGGTCTACTGATAAGAATTTATTACAGAAGCCTATGCAAAGATACCTCCTTACCATATTAAATGCATTTGCAGCACAAAATATAACTCTTCCGGTGAGATATTGCGCATGCGCCCAAACAGTAACGTAGCCAGATTATGTACTGACTTGTATATGCAGCCGGCACCTTACATGCAAAGTGTGCTTCCTATTTCATAAGTGAAGTCTACTGATGAAATATTATCATGAAAATCTATGCTGGGATAACCCCTCTTCATTTTAAATTCATAATCTTAGCAAAATATTCTTCTTCTTCGGAGATATTGCGCATGCGCGAACATTGTTTCAGAGGTGCAGTACGGCCTAAATTAAAGTATGTAATATAGCTTGCTGCGGGAGAGAGGGATGTGAGACCAAGGGAAGGTGGCAAAGAAGACAGCCGAGGGACGGTGGGAGAAAAAAGAGGCTGAGCGTGCGACAAGGGAGACAAGGAAAAGGGCGGGCGGGGATGAAGTAGTAGTTTTGCACCCTACTGGCTAGGGCGCTCACCTAATTATAAACACAGGTCTACTGATAAGAATTTATTACAGAAGCCTATGCTGATATACCCCCTTACCATATTAAATGCATTTGCAGCACAAAATATAACTCTTCCGGTGATATATTGCGCATGCGCCCAAACAGTATCGTAGCCAGCTTATGTACTGACTGGTATATGCAGCCGAGACCTTACAAGCAAGGTCTGCTTCCTATTTCATAAGTGAAGTCTACTGATGGAATATTATTATGGAAATCTATGGTGGGATAATCCCTCTTCATTTTAAATTCATAATTTTTGGCGAAATATTCTTCTTCTTGGTAGATATTGCGCATGCGCGAGCACCGTTTTAGACGTGCAGTACGGCCTAAATCAAAGTACGTAATATAGCTTGATGCGGGAGAGAGGGATGGGAGACCAAGGGAAGGTGGCAGGGAAGACAGCCCAGGGGCGGTGGAAGAAGAAGGAGGCTGAGCGTGCGACAAGGGAGACAAGGGGAAGGGCGGGGGGGATGAAGTATTAGTTTTGCACCCTACTGGCTAGGGCGCTCATCTAATTATAAGCACAGGTCTACTGACAAGAATTTATTATAGAAGCCTATGCTGAGATACCCCCTT